TCGTGCGTGCTGATGCCGGTACCAGTCCGTGGATCATTTTGTGATGCCGGTACCGGGCTGTGGTACAAAAAAGGTTGGGGGCCACTGCTTTAGATAGACATAAAGATGTCTCAATGGAAAGAATGGTGTTTTGAGAAAAGATGCAGGACTGCTGTGCATGTGTGTGGCTGTATTCTGGATGGAAGGGGTGAGAGGGATACTTGGATGATTATCCAAGGAGGTGCAGTTCAGGTTTTTTACTGTATCAAGAAAAGGCTGGGCATTTATAAATCTACTCTCCTTTTTTTACAATAGCCACAGTCTGGTGAAGACTAGATGCTTATTTTTCACCATTGGGAAAAGTTTGAGAAGTTTTCCTAGATAGATTGATTATACCCTAGATTATGCACATATGATGGGAAGCCACAGCTGGCAACAAACATATATAGCCCTTTTGGATTGCATAAATGCTTGTGCCTTTGGACATAATTTACTGCTTACCAGAAAATGACTCTAAGGCAAAGGGATCTGCTATAAAATTACAGATGAGGTCACATTGCCCTTGTCATTTAAGCCTCTCAGCACTAACCAATATTATATTTATTCTTGTTACGTCCTTTACAGCATTTTTATGCTTTGATTCCAAATTTTGTTTTCAAATTGTAGGAAGCAAAGTCCAGTTTTTATTCATTTTGTTTTATTTTGTATTAGAAACCAAGAAATCATGAATTCCAGTCTATGCTTAGGCACAGAAGCTGGCCGGGTGACTTTGGCCAATCATTCTCTTTCAGTCGAACACATGTTGTAGAGAAAAATAGGAGGTAGCAACAGGCATGCCATCTTGAAATTTAGGAAAATAAAGATGGAGTAGAAATCTAAATAAGAACACCACCATGTGTATGTGAATATGTAAATACAACATTATATTGATTATAAACTTTTTAAAGAATTACTACATTCCCCTTTGTAGAATCCTGTCTTTTAGGATCATTGTTTAGAATATACAAAAAGGTCCCATAAAAGCATTAAGGGTTTTAAAAAGAAACCTCAGGAAAAAATATTTCAGATCTATAAAACCAAATGAAGATCTCTCAAGCATGTTATCTATGAAGGTTCTCAGTCATCCAGATCATGGTTGTTCCAAAGGTGCTTTTTCAAGAGGCAACTGGACTTTCTGGTTTTTCTTTGAAGACCTTTCGCTTCTCATCCAAGGATGAGCTCTGGCTGGATGGTGGGGAATGGAAGGATTTATACTCCTTGCAGACAGCTGGACGTTTGCATTCTCCCAAGCATGTTCAATATCTTGATTTATTGTACTATGTAGGGTTATTTATTGTATTTCCTAGAATAAACTCTTAACTATGAATGTTGTGTGCTTTAAGGATCTTTCTCTGTCAACACTTAGCAAGGATTCTAAAAGATACACTGGCATGAGGCTATAGGTACCTAGGAATAACCTCACACTTTATTTTTTTTTATTTCATTTTTATCCAATTTGTATTTCATTAGCAACATGTAAAATGAATTGCATACAAGTTTTGTTTTATCATAAATTTGATACATACTTGTAGGTTTGATCACATATTTATTGCCTTGTTTAAACTTTCCCTAGAAATAAAAATCAGCTAGTATTGCAACAGCTGTTAATATTTCAGCTTTGAGTATCCAGCTGAATTAATTTCATTCTATTTCAGCTGTTGGCTGAAAAGATGAATTATACCTTGCTGGTCCCTAAGCTTGTTACTCACATAGTAATCTGCCCAGAAATCCACCTGTATTCACTGGGCTTTGTATTAACTTTACTAATGAATCTTTGTTAGTGTAGTCTCCAGAATGAGATTGAAAATCATAATCTGTTTAAAAATCTGCTTTGGAATATTTAGTGATAAATTTGTTGTGCTTGTCTTGAGCCTACTTCAGATGCCACAATCCTCTACTAGAAAATGATAATTCTGAGACCTAATGCCGTACAAAACATGTTTGTTTGAAAAATGCTTTGTTTTAGTCTTCTATTTCATGCCCAGGATACAAAACTTTATTATCAAATTACAGGGCACCTGTTCCAGCTTTGATAACTTAAATAAGCAGGTGCTTTTCCATGGTCACGCTGCCTTTTTAGTATTACTACTTGAAATCCTTCATTTAGCAATAACAAAAATGAAAAGGTATTCATTTGCAAGAAGGATATACAGTATAACGTTACGTCTTATATCTAATACAATATCTAAAGAAAAAAGTGAGATTTTTTTCTTTAAATATTGTATTAGATATTTAGATATCTTTAGATATTATATTGAATACAGTATTTGCCACTGTGGGTTCTTATTTGCCTAGGTTTTATTAGATATTTAGTACTGTAGGTTCTTATTTCTCAGGATTCATCTAATAGGAAATAAAAATATTTACTATAGCAGATATGGCCAATTTGGGATCCTATAGAAGTTCTTGAACTTATGCAGAAACCTTTCTTAATGTGGCCATTATGGGAGATGCCCACTAATTTACTAGAATTTATCCTGGATTCATAACGTCTGGTTTGTTACTCTTGCTGGTAATTGTATAATTAATATTACTTGCAGTCTTTAATGAAATGGTGTGAAAAATGCTACAATTAGTAACTATTTTATGCAGAAATTAGAATGGTTTTTTAAAATTAAATAGTAGTACAAGTTTGCAGCAGTTTTCTACAGCAGTGACTAAAGGATATTATGTTTTCTACTTAGTGAATCATATATTCAGGTATAGGATCATATGGAGAAAACTAGGTTGGATGCTTGCTATATTTAGATCATCATACTGTTGGCCAGAAAATAGACTTATTTCTGCTTGAGCTGTATAGAATAGGTTGACAGTAGCAGCAGTTGGAGATTATTAGAATAGTATTATAGGAAAACAGAACTGTTATTCCAGTGGCTATATCAGAAGGATTATAAAAATGATTATGTGTTGTCTTCACACATTCAAAGCTTAATTCTTAATTTAATCAAGCTGCTATTCTTTCTGAATTGAAACTAGGATCAGACCTTGTTTACAAGCCTGAATTGAGGTTAGAACTCAAACTGTAATTTATAGTTTTAGATCTGATGGTGAAATGATTAATTTAGATAATGAAATATACTGGGAATATGGAACAGGACAAAATAAAAAAGGGAGTATGCAAACACAGTGTTCATTCACTTCTCTGCAAATCATAGTTTGGAAAATGAATGAAGCTATTATATGGCTATTATGAATCCTTTCTATGAGCTCAGGCTGTTGTTGACTTTTGCCATCTTATATAATAGCCTGCGACAGGAAAACTAAAAAACTGTGACTAGTACTATCCAAGAACTATGAGCAAACTTCTCCTAATCTTACTCAAGATAGTCTTTTCCAACTCTGAATTCCTTCATCAGCATCAGTTGAGTTTCAATTCCTTTTCATTCTTTCAGTTTCTCATTATGGTTTTCATAATATGAATGGCTACAGGGAAAGGGTCTTTTCTATGAAGGCATTTTAATTTTAAAATAACTATTTTCCAGCAATATGCATCTAATTATTAAAATTTAGGCATCAAACTAGGTTCTCCCTAGATTTTTCTGAGTTTTTAAGGAATAGCTTGGTAGAATATTATTTATTTATTTTATTTATTTATTTTGTCAAAACGCTTACAATATGATAGACATAAGGATAAACGTAAGTTTAAATACAAGAAATAGGGACTAATAATTGGGGAAAATAGGACAGGGACGGTAAGCACGATTGTGTACTTTTGCACGCCCCTTACAGACCTCTTAGGAATGGAATTATAAAAAATTATAATTTATAATTATAAAAATGTTTTGTATAGTTAGCTACTTTGAAGCTAATTTATATAAACAAAGGCAAGGGCTTTTGCTTCTTAAGCAGGCCTTAAAGCTTGTTTTAAGTTTTTATCATGAATAAAAGTGTTATTGTGTTATTAAAATGCGTAGAAATGGTGTAAATCCATACTGTCAAAAGAGGTGGATCTTGTGGAATTCCAGAAGTAGAAGGCACCACTACAAAAAAGATCCTACATTTGGAAAATGCTATTTTAGGTCTGCGTATAAAAGAATTTGAAAATAGGGTTTCCCTACAGGTCACACCTACTGAAAGCTTCTAAAGTATGATACGTTAGGCTCCCTTTTCACAGTTTTAAAAATCAGTACCAACATTCTGAATAGAGCTTGGAAATTAACTGCCAGGTAATAACGCTTATTTACAATATTAGCATAATATGGTTTGAGCCAGTAAAAACTAGACAGCTGAATTCAAAACAAATTGTGTTTTTTTTTTCAAATATAGTATGTTTAATGATAATACAATTTATTTGATATTATGATTTAGAAAATATCTTTGCTATGAAGTGTGAAAGTAGCCATACCCTTAGTATCCATATTAAATGGCAGGAAATTTTCCTGTGGAGAGTATATTCTAAGTTAGGCCTATTCAGTAGTTTGGCCTATTCTATGAAATTGATCTTCAGGTAAAATTGTGACCCAAGCTCAGAGTGATGAAAAGATTATTTAGAATTGAGTTACTCACTCAAGGCCAATAACAATTGCTTACAGTTGTGTTTGTAAATTAGAAGAATAGCATGGGTGTGCTTGTTTTACAGATTGATAATGTGCAAACTGTCTGCTTTATGAAAGCATTAGATAAATGCTCAGGCAGAGGGAGGCAGATGTTCACTATGGTAGTTCCATGCATTACATAGAGCTGTTAATAACTCTATAATTAAACTCTGCAAATATGTATTCTCATAATGCTTTAAATTTAGTTATCAGTTTTCACCTAGTGAAGTATTTTTCTTAAACATTTTTATTTTGTAATGTTCTGAAATGCTGCAGTGTGACAAAATCATAAAGCAACTGCATAATATACCTCATTACCTTTTAATCTGGTTTTTAAAAGCTTGTTGGCATGTTTTGCTTGTAAACTGGAGCCTATTCTTGAAATATCTTCTAGTCTCACATTCTTGGGAGTGATGAAATTTTATTCATATGTGTTTCTACTTATAGGTAAGGAATCTGAAACTGGAGCATGAGCAAGAGAAAAATAAGATCTTATCTGAAGCTCTGGAAACACTAGCCACTGAACACCATGAATTAGAGCAATCGCTAGTCAAAGGGTCACCTCCCCTTAGCATCCTTAGTGAGGAACAGTTCTATGATGCTATATCTGGTAAGTGTGTCGAAATATATTGCACCAATGTATTTATGATTGGTAGGCATATATAGATGTTAATAATGTTAATTGTGGATACACACAAATATACACAGCTCAAAAAAATAAAGGGAACACTTAAAACAACACAATGTAACTCCAAGTCAATCACACTTCTGTGAAATCAAACTGTCCACTTAGGTACCAACACTGATTGACAATCAATTTCACATGCTGTTGTGCAAATGGAATAGACAACAGGTGGAAAGCATAGGCAGTTAGCAAGACATCACCAATAAAGGAGTGGTTCCGCAGGTGGTAGCCACAGACCACTTCTCAGTTCCTATGCTTTCTGGCTGATGGTTTGGTCACTTTTGAATGCTGGCGGTGCTTTCACTCTAGTGGTAGCATAAGACGGAGTCTACAACCCACACAAGTGACTCAAGTAGTGCAGCTCATCCAGGATGGCACGTCAATGCGAGCTGTGGCAAGAAGGTTTACTGTGTCTGTCAGCGTAGTGTCCAGAGCATGGAGGCGCTACCAGGAGACAGGCCAGTACATCAGGAGACGTGGAGGAGGCCAACAACCCAGCATCAGGACCGCTACCTCTGCCTTTGTGCAAGGAGGGACAGGAGGAGCACTGCCAGAGCCCTGCAAAATGACCTCCAGCGGGTCACAAATGTGCATGTGGCTGCTCAAACGGTCAGAAACAGACTCCATGAGGGTGGGATGAGGGCCCAACGTCCACAGGTGGGGGTTGTGCTTACTGCCCAACACCGTGCAGGACGTTTGGCATTTGCCAGAGAACACCAAGATTGGAAAATTCGCCACTGGCGCCCTGTGCTCTTCACAGATGAAAGCAGGTTCACACTGAGCACATGTGACAGATGTGACAGGGTCTGGAGACGCCGTGGAGAATGTTCTGCTGCCTGCAACATCCTCCAGTATGACCGGTTTGGCAGTGGGTCAGTAATGGTGTGGGTGGCATTTCTTTAGGGGGCCGCACAGCCCTCCATGTGCTCGCCAGAGGTAGCCTGACTGCCATTAGGTACTGAGATGAGATACTCAGACCCCTTGTGAGACCATATGCTGGTGTGGTTGGCCCTGGGTTCCTCCTAATGCACAACAATGCTAGACCTCATGTGGCTGGAGTGTGTCAGCAGTTCCTGCAAGACAAATCATTGATGCTATGGACTGGCCCGCCTGTTTCCCAGACCTGAATCCAATTGAGCACATCTGGGACATCATGTCTCGCTCCATCCACCAACGCCACGTTGCACCACAGACTGTCCAGGAGTTTGGGGATGCCTTAGTCCAGGTGTGGGAGGAGATCCCTCAGGAGACCATCCGCCACCTCATCAGGAGCATGCCCAGGGGTTGTAGGGAGGTCATACAGGCACGTGGAGGCCACACACGCTACTGAGCCTCATTTTGACTTGTTTGAAGGACATTACATCAAAGTTGGATCAGCCTGTAGTGTTTTTTTCCCACTTTAATTTTGAGTGTAACTCCAAATCCAGACCTCTATGGGTTGCTAAATTTGATTTCCATTGGTATTTTTTGTGTGATTTTGTTGTCAGCACATTCAACTATGTAATGAACAAAGTATTTAATAAGAATATTTCATTCATTCAGATCTAGGATGTCTTATTTTTGTGTTCCCTTTATTTTTTTGAGTAGTGTATAATCTGTAATCCCCATTCAATTTATTGAATGAAAATTAAGAGCTTAATGAAAAAGAAATTTATGAGTGAGATTCAAAAGTTAAGTACAGTAAGCACCAGCTCAGGCACCAAATTAAGAAATGGTGCTGAATTTATGAAAGCAGATCACAACATGTTGCACGTAGTTATTAAGATTATATTACTAAAATGTATCAGTTTAACTCTAATAAAATCACTTATCAGATTCAAATGTTACTCTTGCTCTTGCTTTTTGCTGTTGCAAAAAATCCAAATATCAAATCCAAATATGCCTCAACAGACAGGCATATTTTTGGCTTATTCTTTGCTTATTATCATTTTGGTAGCTGTTTAGGGTATCCCTTTAGGCACCATTTTGTTCTTTGGAAAAAAAGTGTATTTGGGAACAAGGAGCACTGATTATGTGAACCTTCATGAATTTTTGAATCAAAGAATCTGATTTTCTGGTTAGATTCGAAAGAAGGGTTCTTTAGATTTAACTCTAGATTTAACTTTAACTTAATGCTAAGAGTACGTTAAAATATGTTTAAAAGAATACTTTGCCAGTAATTCACATTTCAGAACAAAGACATGGCAATATGAAATAGTTTAGGTCAGGGCTGTCAAATGCCCAGCCCACAGACCAGATGCGTCACACACTGGCCACGCCCACACCCAGTTTAGCGAAGGGGGAAAAAGTCCCGATATGTCACGTGACGTGATGCAACGACGTGAGTTTGACACCCCTGGTCTAGGCCAATATGAAACCTGGAAAACCTTGATATATTCCCAAAACTATTTTTAAGTTGTGGGTTTGAAATGTAACAAAAGGGAGCACATTGTTAAATAGATGAGTGAAGAATCGTTTCACTATATTTAATTAAATAAACATCCATTCCATATAGTGTATACCTGATCCAAATAACTGATTTGATAAGTGGGGTCCTTGGGACTCTCTAAGCTTGCTTCTTTTCTTGCAGATGTTTCATTACCCCATACTAGATAACATCATCATTGCTACCAGTAGTAAGGAGTGCTATTTGCTGTTAATTTATATCATGTCAGTATTGGTGGGGGTGGTTTTAAGAGATTATTTGATTGGACTGTTGGCTGTTGGCTTCTTTGGCAATTTCTTGATTGTGGTATTGTTTACTTGATTGATGGTCTGATGTTAACCTTGGAGTTAATCTATGTTATCTGGGTGCTGGTGGAGAGGTGCTTGGGTCTTTTTGTTCCTTTTTGGGCTCTTTTGCAGTCTAGTTTAGTCTATAGATGTTGTTAATGTCTGTTTATCTATTGATGGCTGATTTGTCAGAGTCCCAGACTTCTACAAATTCCCTGGCGTTTTTTTTTTTTACTTAGATTGGACTAGGATCGTCACATTTCCCAGTTGAAACTATGGTTAAATCTGTCTGTATGTTGTGAAATTAAAAGAATTTTCATCATGTCTTCTGACTGCTATTTGGTGTTCGTGAATACATTCTGCCAGTCTTCTGCCTGTTTGTCCTACGTAGTGGTTGTTGCAGTCCTTACACTGTTGTAAATAACAACCATAACCTTAAAAGGGACATGGTTAATACAAATGGCTGCCATAGTAACTTGTAATCCTAATTAAGGGCAGCAATTAAGAAGGAAGCAACCAACACTGCCCTAAGACTACTTTGTGTTGCTTTAGCATAGGGGTCGCCAATCTTTTGGACCTCAGGGACCACCAAGCTCATAATTTTAACTAATTTTAATTTTAAAACTCATAATTTTAAATCCCGGGGACCACTAATATGAATTTTGACTGGTAGTGGCTTACTGACATTGGTGGGAGAGAGAGAGAGAGAGAGATCTGATCTAACCTCTTTCTCTCCCTCTCCCTCCTTCCCTCTCTCTCTCTCTCTCTCTCACACACACACACACACAAATACACAGAGGCAGGGGTGGGATTCAAATTTCTTAACCGGTTCTGTGGGCATGGCCTAATTTGTGGGTGTGTCTTGGTGGTCATGTGACTGGCTGGACAGGGTTTGTATGTAAATATTATAAATATTTATGTAAATATTGAATTTTTTATTTAAAAAAGCAACTTTTACGTAAAATCATGCAAAACAGGCAGGCAGATTGAGTTGCTCACAGAATCACAGATTCACTCAGAGATCTATCTTTCTGCCATTGGCTACCTGAGTCTGTCACATAAAATTTGCTTGCAAGCAAACTCATAAAATTAACTCACACCACACCATGTATGTAAATATTGAGTTTTGTATTAAAAAAAGAGCAACTTTTACCCAAAATCAGGCAAAGCAGGCAGGCAGATTCATTCAGAGATCTATCTTTCTGCCATCTGCTACCCGAGTCTGCACTGAATAATAGAAGCTTCAGTATTAAAGGAGGTTCAGCTCTGCTTAAAAGCAGAACCGAAGATCTAAAGATGAGCTAGAAAGCAAGAAATCCAATGGTTTCCTGCTTGCTACTTAATTTAAATTTCCCAGCACAGCAAAACAGCTGATAGTCTGGGGGGGAAAGGAAAAATAGCAACTTAGCAAGCACGTTTGCCAGGTAAGGAGTGAGTGGGCGGGGAGGGTTTCCGCAGGCCATGTGGGTGGTGCAGCCTTGTGTTCCCGTGCAGCCTGGATTAATTGCTTAGAGGGGTGCTCTGGGGGTGACATTTCTCTGCGGACCACCAACATTTTTTTGCGGACCACCAGTGGGCCATGGCCCACCAGTTGGCAACCACTGCTTTAGCATGACCTCAAAATGTAATATGTTGTGTGTGTCAGCCAAACCTCTCTAGAGGAATGCGCGAAAACTTTGTCAATATTTTAATGGTATTATAAATAAGAAAGATTTAGAAGTACTATTGATTACCAGCTGAACATTAGGAAGTAGCAGCAGGCAGAATTAGAAAGAACAATGCAGTGCATTAAAAGAAGCATTGTGCCCAATTCATGGTAGGTACAGACAGTTGTGTGTAAAATTTAAGGAAGCTTTGGTCAAATTGTGGGTTTCTATAATTTTCTAAGAGAAGTTGACACAGTTGCAATGTGGTGCAAAATTAAAGATAGCATGTTTTCTGCAGCCTAATGCATATTTACTATGTATGTGTAATAATTTGCAGATTCAATGAATATGGCATGTGCAAATTTTGAGCACCCTTTCAATGGTTTCCCTTCATGTAAATAACCACTTCCAGATATTTCCTCTGGCCAGCTAAGTTTCTGTTCTGGTTTTTGGAAGTCCTCTTCCTTGGCAAAATGGGAGCTGGATGCCTACCTATCAGAGATGGTTTTATAAATTCTTACAGTTGGCAAAGGACTGGACGTGATAATTTATAAGAACTTGTCCAGCTTACACATTCTCTAATTCTATGATTGAGAAATAAAGAAAAGCCCAGAATGGTTCTCTATTCTTGGATTAGACAACTGTACCAAATGCATTTAGACAATGGAATCATTTCTCAAGAAAAGTACGGTAATAACTTGGGTAATTATTGTCAATTAGAAGCTGAACTGCCACCTTTTTGGGAATATTTTAATATGGATTTTGGCATTAATTTGGATCCCTGTGTTGGGCAGGGATTGGTCACAATAGCCTAGGTTAGCCTTTTAATAGCCTTCAAAACTGTGTTTCTGTGACATATAATTACTCACCTGCAACCTCAAGTGATAGTCCTTAATGCTGAACAGTTTGACCATCACATGTTATAAAACTTCCAGTCATGCTGCTTTGACTTGGTCAAATGCTGTCATCCGCATCACATTGATAGGCTATTAAATTCCTGTGCTGTGTGTGAAGATTCTGTTAATTAGTCTGTGAAAGATTAACCCTGAAGCTGAATAAATCGACACTTGTCTATCTTGTAGATTCAGAATCTGAAAAATCATTTATTGGATTTGAAACCGTGACTAGCTTCTCATTGGAAAACAGCGAGGACTCTAGTGACACCATAACAGCTAACATGTCTGAAGAAAAAGCAAATAAAAACCGAGAGACTCTATCAAATGGCATAAAAAAACACAGGTATGGTTTTGCCTAGTGTCCTGAGAGGTAGCCTCTATTGCTGTGCTGACAAAAGCTCATCTAATATCTCTAACTGATAATTGGGGATACTGCTGCCTCTTCTCTGGAGAAGAGTGAAGAACAATAACAGCTGCACCTTAACAAGAACATTTTTCTTTTTTATGGATATTGGGGAAGAAAATTTAAATGAAAAATACTATGATTTTATCATAATGCAAACTAAATAGAGGAATTCTTAACCAGGCACGTTTCTAATTCATTTAAATTAGTCTTATTAAAATCAATACTGTCTCTTATTTCTTCATGTTTTTGTAATGTGTCACTGCTGCTTTTTTAGTTTCCAGTTAACTTGATCGCCTTCATCTGTTTATACCAATTAGAGCTAACCTATAATTTCAATATATGTTCAAAAAAAAAAACATTAAGAACAAAAAAAGTGACCCTAGGTAGAAGAGTTGCATTCAGATATTGCTCCTTCATCTGTTCTTTTTAATCTGTAACAAAGAACAATAGTTCCTTGGTTACATGTAACGATACCCAGTTTCTCAGGTTTCACTAGAGAGAGAACTTAATATGTGTACTTTTTCCCTTCCAATTTGCATACAGTTAAAAGGAATCTCTATTTGTCATTTGTTATTCTACTTTTTATAATGATTTTTTTCTTATATAATGAAAATAGGATTTATATAAGCAAGTTAACCTTGTGTCTCATATCTATTAATAGCTGAATATTTATAGCTGGCCTCAGTAATGCATTCTGTTCAGAGAACAGTATAGCTACAAAGAAAGACAAGTGAAACTATGACTTCTTCATTAATGATCTTGAATAGAGCTGGGGGGGGAGGGTGGAATAAATATTTCTAAACCCAAGCAAGTTAAAATGGTTGAATGAAGCCAGGAATTTTTCTTACCTCACTTAATTATCACTGGATCTTAGCATCCTTAATATCCTGTATTCTTTCTCCCAATGATATCCCTAAAATGCCTGCATCCTCTAACCTCTACAATATTCTAAATAAATAATAATTAAGTTTCTTAAGACAGTTGGCTGCTTTTTCTGCGTAAACAAGCAGTGGTAATTTCAATGTTGTTTTAAGCATTAGAAACAAGCAGTAATTTGGCAAGTGTCCATAAAACATCGTAAAATGCCATTGCCAAAAGTGTAAACAAGAGGTGATTGGAGCCTCCAGGCTCTTGTTTCCTATTCCTCTGAGGTTCCTTTACTTTCCACTACAGTGTCTCTCATTATGCTTTTTGGATCATTACGTTTTCACATCTCTAATCTTGACCCATATTTTCCTCCTTTTCCCTTTTTTCTTCTTTTGTATTTATCAACAATTAAAGATTATTACTGACTTTTTATGGACTTGGGGTAGCATTTTGAAAACACTGAGCTAGGATTTTTCTTGAGAAGTAAAATTGAACCGCATGTGTGCAATTCAATTACTGCTGAATGCCTTCTTCCAAACTATATTTACAGTATTTGATCTCTTTATCTGGCACTATTCAGGGAACTGATGTCTGCACGCATATTGATGTCAATTGTCATGCCTCTGTGGGAAAACAAGTCTAAATTTTGCTTTGCAGAAAACTTCCCCAAGGAGATAAAGCTGTTCAGTGTTTCTAGTTATCTTGGGGTTTTTATATGGGTTGCTCGTCTTGTCATCTAATTACACTGTATTTATAACATAAATATGTGAATGTTTTATCTTAGGGGTGGGGTATTTATAATTGTGTCTTTGGGTTGAAGCAAGATGTGTTATCGCATGTGTGCAGCTATTTTGTTTTAATTCTAAACATATTTTGGGTGAAAGTAATAAATACTTATTATGACAACAACTTTAGTAGTGTTTATGTTCCATACAAAAGAGAGGCCACAACCTAGGATTCAAACTATTGTGACATTTTTGGTTAGGGAAGACAATTTTTATGCACCCTCAAAATCTGCTCTATTGGCACCAGCCCAGAGTAAACAGGGACACTGACTATAGACACTGATCCTATAAATTGAAACTTCTACTGACAGAAGTATATGATTTCACATAGAAAAAAAGATACTGTAAAACTTTTTAAAACACTTCTTTAAAAATAATTACAAAAGAAAGCCATATTGGATAATGTTACTTCAAAAGTACTGAACATATAAGCCAAAGAACACATTAAGTATGAGCTTCCCAAATGTGTCTTTTATTTTTCAGATTTTTACCCTACCTTTATTCATTTATAATAAAGACAACAAACATACATAATCCCTTCCTCCTTTTCCCCACAGCAACTCTGTGAGGTGAGTTGGCTGAGACAGAGTCACTGGCCCGAAGTCACCCAGCCAGCTTTCTTGCCCAAGGCAGGACTTGAATTCACAGTTTTCTGGTTTGTAGGCCAGGACCTTAACCAGTATAGCAAACTAGCTAAACAACATACAATTAATTATCTGTGCACATTTATGTTATAGTGGATTAAAAAAATGGTTCTCCTTGGATTGTGTAAAAACTGTCACATTTGTATTTGATAAGAGATCATATATTTCCTACCTACTCTGTTGTCTAAACAATTCTGTGAAATTTATTAAATTGAGTGATTTTTGACCAGTTACTATCTCAAGCATTCAAATTTGAATCTGGACTGCTCCAGGAACTCCCTAAGAATAGACAGTTGGATTTTTACAGTTTCCATGCACACTTTCTTTGTTCACAAGTGCTTTGTTGATGGTATCAATAGTTGATTTATTTATCTGCTGTGAAGGAGTGCCATTTGTCAGTGAGAGCAGAAATTAATGGTAGAACGGATAAGGTTGTTTCTGCCTTCCTCTTCTTTGATTCCTGTAGATTACAGCACTTTCTATGGGAACCTCCACCTCACACTGAGATGAATTGACAGATTTTCTCTTCAACATCATTTTAAAGGAAGAATTGAAGGTGGGGAAAAGTGCATCTTGAAGCTCCACCATTGACAGGAGTTTAGGCTCTGTCAGAAAACTTAGTACTACTGCTATAACATATAAAGCTAGTTTCTTCACATTTCGGCCACAGCAGTAAAATGTTTGTAGAACAGGGAAGCAAGCCATTCTGTTTAGAAGGCAAGATAGTTAACCTTCGAAAGTACCTCAAACCTAGATTAAGACAAAAATCAGAGTGAAACGATTGGTCCTGATTAGTCTGAGTGTAGAGCAATATGAAATGGAAAAGAATGCAAGAAATCACTTTTAATGTTTATCATTCTAAGTCAGGATTTGTCACTAAGGTTTGCTGAGCAAGTCAGATTGCTCAACAAACCAAACAAATTTAATGGTTTCAGCAGTTTCCTATCGATTTGTTCCACTGGTATCCAAACGCCCCAAAGCTAGAAAAGTCCATTTGAATACATTTTGGGAGGTAAAGTTTATATGTACAGGGTGTTTTGGCTTTGGAGTTTTTGTTGAATAAGAAAAAATAAGCCTTTTGTATCCATTTTGTGTGTGTGTGTGTATAGGTGTGTGTATGTATATCGAGAGAGAGAGAGAGAGAGAGAGAGAGATTAGATAGACACACAGACAGACAGACAGAGAATACTTGTATCATGTGCTTTCCTGCATATTTTTGAGAAATGTTTTTTTATGTGGACATGCTTTTATGGGAACTCAGTATGTATTTTATGTGTTTATCTGTGTAACTGTCTATGCATCACTAGTTTGCCTTCTATAAAAATTGATACTTTATGGGGGGAGAGAGAGATTTAATAATCTTATACTGAAGAAGAAACAAGAAGAAATAGGCACACAAAGTTTTCAGTTTTTTAAAGCTGCATTTGCTATGTACTTTTGTAGATAAGCAAGAGGTGGGGAGAATAAATCAAGATAGAATTCTAGGTTCAAATATTTCAAGCCATGGTAAAGCAGATCAGGATTTGAAAGTATATTCAACCAAGAATAAAAACATAGTTTGTTATTTTGAGGAGAGTTAGATACCATACAAACCACAATTAGGCAAAAGACATCTTGAAAGGGTTGAATTAATATATGTTAGAGATGGACTTGGATACGAACAGTGGTGGAGCTAAAACTGAATTCATGTAAGAAGGATTTATTTGATTTACTGTGCTTTTTTTACCCTCCTGGCTCACTGATACAATCTTGGATCATTACTAAGCTATTGAGATAGTTTTCATGTTCTATTTTTCTGTACATATGTAATATTGAAAGTACATGGTTGAAAAAGCTAAGAATACCAGGAATACTTGCAAAACTAAAACTATGACCAACATTGATGACTACTGTTCTGCATCTAATGTCCACCCTGAGGAACAAAACCAATACTTTCCACTTGATGGGTAACTTTGTCTTACCAACTTCACTATTTCCAAAGGGAATTTTCATTCGAAATTCCTAATTTTCATCCAGACCAGAAGTTTGCCTTTTTGGCATGTCTATGCACTAAGAAGTTTATTCTATGAATAGCACTACCATTGAGACCTGAAGAGCATGAGTTAAACAGAAGAAAGACATTTCCAAAGTTGGCAGAAAAGGGGAAAAAAGCAACTAAACAATGGCCATAAATTCTGAGTTGAAGAAGAAAAATGAAAGGGATGAAATGGAATATCCTGAAAAAAATAACCAGGTACCAACTTGTTTGAAAACACTATATTACAACATTTTGTAGTAGATTCTGTTCTGTAATAATGAAAAAACAAGAATAGTTCTGTTTCACATATTAAAGAGCCTTTCATCCCAAAATATCTGAGGTATCTGAGTCCCTTTTTCTGTCACATCCAGGATCCCCTTTGACTCCAATGGCTGATGATATGAGTCACTGCCATTTTGAGGCAGAAAGTGCATGAAAACATTAGTGTAAGCCACAAAATGAAGTAGTTTAAGAAAACAAGTATACAACTCTACAACTTTCCCCAAAGCTATGAAAAAAATACATTTCCAGCCATTTCCAGCATTACAGTCCTATACACAATATCTACCCTCCATAGCTCTGAACTCCTTCCAAACGTTGAAGGTGGCTCTTTACTATCAAAAGATGAGGCCCATTTTTATGGGAATAACACTCAAATGTGATTATATAAAGAGGGAGAGAGGTTCGCCTAAAACCAGATCTTGAATTTATGACTGATACACTGCTGTTTATTTGATTTTGCTTTTTTGGTTTATTTCATTTATATCCCGCCATTGGACTCTCCTATCAAGAGTCTCAGTTCTATGATCATTAAGCTCCAAACTAACTTAACTGAATGTTTTTTGCTCAGTTCTCATGAGCACTAGCAATTTAACGTTCCCTTGCTTTTTCTATATTCCATCTTTTTGTTCAAATTGATCTGCTCAATTTAGTGTAGTCTAAACATATGTTTAGCTTGCCAAATCTTTCTAGCCAATTTGAAATATTTTTTTATCACAATTCTTGTTTTTAATGGTTTGAAAATAGTTATGGGGAACTGCCATAAATATTTGGAATAGTTCAGTTTGAAGCACTTCTGAAGTATTATTTTAAATGGACAACATCCTTTTTCTAAGTTGGGATACTAAAAACTAAGGTGTGTTCTTTACTGTATTGCAAAAACATAGTTTTGTGGCAGTTTGTCTAAACTAATCATAAAAAAATATGTTTCCTAAAATTAAAGACATAATCTTATAGTTTATTTATTAAATTTATATGCCATCCACTTCACTATCAAGCAAATCTGGGCAGCTTATAATGTCATAAATAGCAATATAAAACAACTATAAATAAATAAGATTAAAAGCATTAAAACAGGCACTAAAACTTAAAACATTTCATTTTCTGCCACCTTAAATGCACATGTGGTTTCTGTTTTAGCAAGCTACCTTTAGCTCAAAATTTATTTTGGTACTAGTTAGGCATAAGAAGTAATTTATAAATAATTTATTTTGTTAGTATCTTGATTTCATAATATCTTCTCATGCATTCTAATAGTGAAGTGAAGAAAAAAAAATCCAACTATAAAGTACTGTCATGTATTCCATACTAATAAGGAACATTAAAAACCTGATCCTAGAAATAAGAAATAATTTTTCTTGGTCCACAGTTCAAAATACATGCAAATAATTTTCTTTCTGATGATCTTCGTACAGCTTATTTCTGAAATGGAAAACATTTCTCTCACTTGTGAATTTTCTTTCAGATATCCTGGATCAAGGACTTGTCCTATAAAAGGGACTTCCTGTCTGTCTTCAAGTAGATCAAAATGTTTACTGGATGCAGGTCTATCCTATGAAAGGACCACTGCTTTTTTCACAGATATAGTATTTGTAAATTAGCTAACAGACTGTTTCAAGGTAGAACCTCTAAATGGAAGGGGAAGACATTTTCATAAGAAGATACCTCACAGTTTAAATATAGGTTTTATGACTTCTACCTACATAGCCTGGAGCTGTTTATATTTTTCAAGGGCTAAATATTTCAAAGGTTTTTCAGTGTCCATCAAATTATTTGAATAAAGTTTGATTGGACTCAAGTAACACAGATGTAACAAGGGATTGCCTTGTATGTACATGTAGTTTATGTGGTATATAATATAAAAACTTTTTTTTTCTTTTGAATGAAAGAACCTGCGATTAAATTTTGCCAAAAACAATTTCTGTATTTGTATGCAATCTTAAAAGTGACCATTCACTGATCAATTCTGTCTTCACTTTTGGAATGATGTTGTTTCTTTATTCAGTCTAATGCAGTCTTAACAGTTTTGCTAATCAGAGGTTGCAGGAACTAATAACTCTTCTATATTTTCCATCACATTTGCTTTTTCTTTCTGGCATCTTGGATTCTCCTATGCTACTCAATGCTAAACATGACATCATGAAAATTTGAACATGCATCATCTGCAATGAAGCATGCAGGCAGGAAATGAATAGAGTTAACGGTAGTTTGAGAATGACCTTAGTACTCATCTAGGATACAGGTGACAGTGTAAGCTGTTGTTCATTGTGATTCCTCAATAGTGTTGCTAGTAAAATGTAAGTAGGATCATTTTAGTAATTGGACAAAAACCAACTAAAGGAGGACATTTGCTGAGGGTTGGAGCTAGCTGAAGTATTGAACTTAAGAAGGAAGTCGTGGGAATTATTTTTTATAAAAAGTATTAGGAGTGGGTCAGTGGGATTAAGGAGGTTTTCTGATGGCCCTACAAGAGTCAGAAATGCAATTGTGGAGTAAGGAGAATAAAAGGTTACTGTTTTTCTGAAGCTTTCCTCAACCTCAGCTGAGAAGTCTAGAAAAATATCACTGGAGGGTTTGGCAAAAAATTGAAAATTTGTGGGACAGAGCATTACAGTTCTGTTTTAGATAATCATGGAAGTTCTAAAAGAGATGGTAGAAAATCTTCTCTACCTCTTCCTTCTTGACTTATTTGAGATGGCAGAGTTGACTGCATGCCATTCGGGAGTTTAAATAATGTGTGTAAAAATGTGGTCCCTTCCAAGATTTTGAGTAATTGCGGCTTAAACAATATTTTGTTTAAAGTAGACATCGGGCTAGTTTGATATGTCTCCACAATGGCTGGGACTGAAAATTGTTTGATTACTCAACCAGAATAACAGTACATTTCTCCTGTAATATCCCAAAGCATAAAACATCCGTTGAATTATATGGAGGCAATTCATTTATGTTACTTTAATTAATATAGTATATACAATTCCTCAAGTCAAATAGCTAAAAAATAAAATAAATTATCCTTTAGAGAATTTTTTTCATACATAGTAATGTATGAAATTACTATAAGTAATGTTCCTCAAGGTTATCTTCTGTTTTAATATACTCAGAATGCCTGGCTTATGAAATATTGCTTTTTTATTTTTATTTTTTATTTTTTTGGACATTCAATGTTTGTTCCTCAGCAGATGGTTGGACTAAAAAATTAAGATCCCTTCCAACTTTATGATTCCGTGATTTTGGTATTTAATGTATTTTGGAGATTAGTTCTGCAAATGTATTCTGTATCATAAGGACTTATGGCCAAATTCTCTCTTTCAATTGCATTGTTTTAACATTTTAATATGCATAGTTTGAAATTCTGCTTTTCTATTTATCTTTTCTGTATTTTTCTGTAATCCGCCTCGAGTTGCCCTATTGGTGAGATGGGCAACATATAAATTAAATAAGTAAATAAATAAATTTCACTTGGAATGATAATTTCATGGTGGTTTTACCCTATCCATCTAAAGAATGAATGAAGCATTTGAAGATAGGAATACACAGCCAATATCCCTGATTAAAAGCTAATCATTTATTAGAATGGGTGATGGGTTTTTGAAGTTGTAGTGATGAAAAAAAACCAGTGTTTCCTGATTTGCAAAAAGTTGAAGGCATTTGGGCCCAGTACAGACAAGTAAAAAAGAAGCTTTTCTGAAGATGAGCTAGAGGCATAAAGAACTTTTACAGCCTGCACAATATGCATGTTCATTTTTTCTGACCATTATGGGCTCCATGAAACTAGTTTTCTGGGCTTCTCTGCTTCAAGCTATAACTGGGGAAGGTCGCCGTTATCTTGCATGACAAGTTATGCTGCAAAGCTCATCTGTGTTCTGGAGTGACTCTTGCAAGAAACAATTGACCAGGAGTGTCCTTGTTTTTTGTACAATTTCAGATTAGTTTTGGAGATTTTATAAACTTACATGTAAGAAAAAACATGTATATATGTAGTCCTCTCAAACTGGGAGGCAGGGATGGCTATCCAGAACTATTTTTGCCCTCCCAACAGTGAGTATTCCCTAGCTAATTAGTTTTTCCAGTAATAGAATTCAGTTATTATTGACTGTTAATAATATTAACTGTGACTAAATACCACTGAAAGGATTTGATTGCAAAGAATTTAACACAATTTACCAATCCTACAATTTAGTAAATTGCAACCACATTGGCGGAAACAACATTAAGCTCAGATAAGTCTCTGTGATCCTCAGTTTTACTTCAGGAATGGACAGTTTTCTTTTTTGGAGGTATTCCATATAAAGCTTTGCATACTATGTCAAAGACCGAATTCCAAAATTGGGTGGAGTGAGGAACTGTTTTAGTGCTTTGAAGAAGCTCAGACTTTTAAAAGCATTTAGTTTAAGCCCTTAATAACCTACCCACAATTGGGGCGGGGGGAGCCAAAAGGTTAAATTATTTAACTACATGCTCACTCACTCATGGGAGGCTCCAATAATACAATAATCATGTTGGCATCTGTAACTTACAAGTTTTTAGAATACTTTTTATGTCTAAAGCAATCTGGAAAAGGAACTGAATGGGGTAGAAGTCTTTATAAGCAAGTAATTAAACTTGAACAACTTCCCGTAGTGTAAAGCAGCTTCTAGAATTCTAGCTAGCACAAGAGACTGAGAATTCTGGGAATTGATTTCCACATAAGGAAGTTCGTGAAGGAGTCTCCAGTGCTCCAATATATAAGGCTCACATCAAAATCCTTATCTGCACTTGTCTCAAAACCAGAGGTGTGTTTTTGCTTCCCACAAAGCAGGTGGAAGTTTTATAATAGGATGCATAACTGGTTTGAGAATGTATTCGTCATGAGTGAGGAGGTGTGGAAGAAAAGTTGTTAAAACCTGGCTTCTAGTGTTAAGGTACATAGGCCTGTGTTCACGATTTGTTTTAAATAGTATAAAGTATATTCTGTGTAATTTGGAAGCATATTAAATAACTTTTTTTGCCTCCACTCCAATCTAGGACAAGCTTGCCCTCTCCAATGTTTTCAAGAAATGACTTCAGTATTTGGAGTATCTTGAGAAAGTGCATTGGAATGGTAGGTAAATATGATTTTTAACAGAGCTTTGTTATACTAACAAATTTGTATTGTTTATGGTTTCATTATGTTTTAATCACAGCATTTCTGAAATAAATTATTGTGTATTTTTTATCCCTATAGAATGCATTAAAGAGTGCTTTTAGTCCATTCCATCACATTGTCAAATCCTTTTTGTCCATTTATTTACTCATTTATAAAATCTGCAGTGTTTTATTTTCAGCCCACTTAAACTTAGGAAAACTAATTGGCAGTGTAAAGAGATATAAGGAGAGAAGAATTATTCAGAAAGTTAATATACTTACTAGGCGTTGTAGCGTTTTCCTACAAACATGGAGTGAGAGTCATTCAATACACTTTCTTCCATTTTCCATTAGGTTCAGGCAAGATCACTGAGAAACTGTAGATTTGTACTGCCAGCCAGGAAGTTGTTTGAATATATTAAATATCCTACATGCATGTTAATAGAAGAATATTTTGGATTTTTTTTTTTTTAAAAAAAAGGTATATAGTGCCTGTTAAGTGAAGTCACCTAGTCAGTATTGATTCTTTGCACTAATAACATATTAAAGAGCCCTAAATATTTGCTCAAGTAGTTGTTAGACACTGTAAAGCAGAGACTAATAAAGGCTTGATCTTTCCATTCTTGTGTAACTTTGGTTTTACAATAGTATAGTGTATATATTAACTTGCCTTCATGCTATACATAGTTTTTCTCTTACTTATCCATTTTATCATTTCAACAACCCTGTGAAAGAGATCAGATTGAGTGTACAGTGGTCCAAAATCACAATCTTCAGATTCAGTATGGATATACAATTCTTTTATCTAGACTTGAATATGATACTCCTTAGGCCATATTGGCTGTTCTTTAAGTTAGTAGTATAAATTTATATCTAGGTTTATGTTTACTTCTTTTGCTAATAATCAAACTTTGTTTTTATGGTAAACCAAAACTATTCTGGGATAAGTTATATAAACCTTCACACACACTTTGTAATATTGCTTTTAAATTTCTTCTAGGAGCTGTCCAAGATCACTATGCCAGTAATTTTTAATGAGCCCCTGAGTTTCCTACAGCGACTGACAGAATACATGGAGCATACATACTTAATTCATAAAGCCAGCTTGCTTCCTGACCCCGTTGAAAGAATGAGGGTACTTCTATCTCAAGAGTTGGAAAACAATTGGGTTGTTTATTTCTAGAAAATCTTATGAATTTAAGTGAAGGTTATTTGAAGAAATAAATTATAATTAGATCTTTCTTTACAGTGATATTATTAAAGTGAAGCTACTGAATGTCTGACCCGCAATTTAGCTTTAAGCAGGTTTGTTTAGCTTCTTAAAAAGTAATGGTGATAATTTGATCTCCCTTTTTAACATTTTAAATGTTTCTCACTACCTTTTTCATATGAGAAGAGAACCAGAACGTGTCTGTATAGTCATTAGAAGCTGAACATGAGTCAAATGGGACAGATTTGACTTCATGAGAATGAATGCTTCAAAAGCTGCAGATTAAATAAGATTTTTCTAGTGAGTCAATAGAAATAAGTTATAAAATTGCCTTTTCAACAGTGTGTAGCTGCTTTTGCTGTCTCAGCTGTAGCCTCTCAGTGGGAACGTACAGGAAAGCCATTCAATCCATTACTTGGAGAGACATATGAACTTTTCAGGTAATAAATGCATGATTAAACTTTTCTGGGTATTCTTTCTTGGGCATGAAGTGGAAAGACAAAATTAGCCCGTTGTGGTTTATGCAGTGTTAAAAGTATTGACTCCCTACTTAGTAGCTAGATTAGTTAAAGTCTTCATTTGAGAATTATCTTTTGTGTCTTTTCTGTGTAGTTCAGTACTATTGGTATATTAAGAAAACATAACTTGCCCTCAAATATTCCAGTAATAATTAAAATTTTGAATTTTTTTTTGTGTGTGATAAAAATTGATATGGAAATGTTTGTGTTTACCCCATTTTGTAGATAAACATTGTTAATTATCACTTTATTTTCCTGCATAGAGAGGATCTTGGATTCAGACTCATTTCGGAACAAGTTAGTCATCATCCACCAATCAGTGCTTTTTATGCTGAAGGACTGAATAATGACTTCATATTTCATGGTTCCATTTATCCTAAACTCAAGTTTTGGGGAAAGAGTGTTGAAGCAGAACCAAAGGGAATAATAACTCTAAAGCTTCTTGAGTAAGTTGGTCAGTATTAATCTTGGACTAGATTAGAAATTGCAAGCAATGCAGACATAGAATGAATGGAATTTAATCCATTGTGTGAACACAAATAATAGTAAAGTATATATGACTGTTTTACTAAAATCATTTTTATGTGACTTATAATAAATTGACCTTAATAATCTATATTTGACAAGCAGGAAACTACATACAGTAACGTATGTAGCGTGAAAATAACTGAACTATTCTGAAATCGCCATGTTTTTAGGAATTCATATTATTATATTAATAAAACAATCTCCTATCAGTGGATCTTTTTTTTCCTGGATTATCTGTGCTGTGGAAAACAAAAAACAAACATTTGTGTGTGATTGATAGTATCATATTTGCTGTTATATTGATAATGGGAAAGAATAATACCTTGATTTGTGCACTTTGTAAGACCATATGGTCATTTTAAAAGCCTTGTATGAATCTTAATTAGTTTTATTATTTTCCTTTTCAGACACAATGAGGCATATACATGGACGAATCCTACATGCTGTGTACATAATATTATTGTGGGCAAACTTTGGATTGAGCAATATGGAAATATGGAAATAACCAATCACAAGTAAGTTGGAAATTTACTATTTGGTTTGAAAATTAAATTTGCTTCATATTAAACATTAATAGAACTACTTTAATTTCAAGGCAACAATAAACAACAAGTAATGTTGTCACTGTAAAGAAATAGTAACCACTAGTAGATTAGAAAACCAATATCCATGGTGAACATCAAAGTAGTTTTTTTTTTAAGTTCCATTAGCAGTGCACTTCAAGGATAATGTATATATTTAAGCGGTTTAATATTTCTTTCATAGAACTGGTGAAAAATGCATGCTAAACTTCAAGCCCTGTGGCCTTTTTGGAAAAGAACTACACAAAGTTGAGGGCTATATTCAAGATAAAAGGTAAATAAAACCATGTATTACTAAAATATGTGGGGATAAATATTTCAGGGATGTAAATATTTTGATAATGTGGTTCAAATACAGTATTGATAACATTCTGTAGAGTCTGCTTTGTGTAACTTTGGGTACAAAATAGGAACTTAGCTAATCCAAAACAGTAATATTTCTAAAATTAATTGTTTTTGGGTGGTTTGACAGCAAAAAGAAACTGTGTGCACTCTATGGAAAATGGACTGAGTGTTTGTACAGTGTCGATATTGCTACATTTGAAGCTTACAAAAAGAATGACAAGAAAAACACAGAAGAGAAGAAAAACAATAAACAGGTATTAATAATACTAAAAATAGAGTATCAACAGTAATTTCTCTTTAAATATTGAAAGAATAAGTATTCTGTTCTGAAATAACTGTTGGAAGATATGTACGATTTTGAAAATTATTCCATAAACTCCATACTTTCTCAAAGAGTTCCAGATATGTTAAAAGTTTTCTTTTCTGGGATTCCAATGACTTATCACATACTGTAGGCCAATTCAGATAACCACTAGAGATTTCATTACCATGGTTTCCTCTCATCTCACTTGTGAACCAACATCAGAGTACTTTCCACTTTTGATATACTGTAAAATCTATATCATACTAGTTTGGAACTCCTCATGAAAGCCAGCAAATTTGGTGCCAATATTGTAATTAATGGGTGAATGGATGGCTTTTTGACATAGTAGCCAGGAAGAAAACTTTTGAGCAATAGAGTAAAATCTCATAAACAAATTAGATTAGAAGATTGATAGATGATAGACAGACGCACACACGCGCACACACACATGGAACTTGGCTTACATTTTTTCTATTAAATTATTCCGATAAAATTAAAATAAAAACTGAAGACAAAAACAGAAAACAGGTAAGAGGAATGCTAGCATTCACATTAATAAACTTCAGATAGTCATTCAAACTAGTGGCTTGAATGGCTTGCTTAATACCTAGTAACTATAAATTTAGAAACCTTTGGAAATATTTCAAAATAGGCAATGGCCTTATTTCCATTGCATTTGTGATGTTATTTGCTTTGACCATAGATTAATTATTGCAAGATAGGTTATCATTAAAAGTTGTGAGTTTCTTTTTTTTCTTTGTTCTTTTTTAAGATAGGGGATTGTAGTACTCTTAAATGTCCCAGATTATGTCTGCTATGGGGTTCATCAAATAATGCAGAAAAAAGCCAATTTGGTCTAGTGGTTAAGGCACTGGGCTGTAAAGCAGAGACTGAGTTCAAGTCCCACCTTGGCCATGAAAGCCAATTGGACAACCTTCGACTCTCTCAACCCAATTCTAGTCACCGGGTGGTTGTGAGGGAAATAGGAGAAAGATGCTGTGTTGGATATGTTCACTATCTGGAGTTATTTGTAAAAATAATAAACACAGGATATAAATAAATAAAAGACCTCAAGCATCTAGATTATGACATTATTCAAAGTACATTTAAAATAAAGGTAATTTTTATTTACCAAGGTAATCCAGTCAAAAGCTGATTAATTCTTTTTTATTTCAGTGGTTTCACTTTTGGATGATTATGTTTTCAGTCAAATTGGGTATTTACTTATGTCCTTTTAGAATGTCTTCATTTTAAATGCTCCTTCACTTGGTAGCTGTATCATCAGTCATATATTAATGATATTCTTAATACAAAAAGACTATAAAATTTTCTGCTGATTCCAGGGGAATAAGGACATACTATGCTTTTCTTCTTACATACTTTGACAAATATGGTTAAATAAAAACTTGCTAGTTTCAGAGCAAAATACCCACAATAAGAGCATTGACTTGGTCCTGAAGCACTATATAGTCAGAAAAGATACGGAATATCACAGCTCAATCTACGGGAGAGATTTAAAGTTGAGGTTCTTTTAGAAATTTTTGAAGTGTTCTAGTTTCATCGCCCACTACAAAGGCTTAAATGTACCAAAACTTGACTCTATAAATTATAACTGAGGGAGTTTAAATTTGCATATTCCATATACATGAGGTATGATAAATGTATAGGTTTGTTTGTTTCATGGAGACTATAAAAATTATATATTCAAAATGTTTAGGTACATATAGGCATTTTATATATTTGGGTCATGGCTTTTATAATAAAATTTCATGTTTGAAATTCTTAGTTGCAATAATTTGCCATGGGAATTGGCTGTTTGAGTAAGCGTTGTCTAATGATGTACATGACTTTTTATGGATGAGTAATTGCAAAAAGATATCTATCTCTTCTATAAGCTATATGATACCAAAATTTTCATCACGTTACATAAAGGTCCATGAACAAAAGAAGTAACCAAAGTACTTGGAATTTGAGGCAGTGATGTTTGTTTAGTAATATTTTCATAGAGCCAAGTACTGTTCTAAATTATTTATAAATATGGCTCTGCTATCCGAAAAAGTAAAAAGCCAGTACCAGCACATATTAAATTTAATTGAAGCAAAGGCGTTTTAAGCTGTTTCTTAAAACCTGGGAGGAACTAAACACTTCAAAAACAAATGAAGCAGGACAGGTATTTCTAGTTTGGGACCTGCAGAACAAAAAGGTTTAAAAAGCAAGAAAGAATTGAGAAACAAAAAATGCAAGTAGGAGAAGAGCATGATGGCAAAACACTTGCTGAAATTTACAAACATGTGTTGGTTATTCTCAATTACATTATATCAGATTAGGCAAGTATATCCCACTAGCATTTTGCAGTACTTTTGTTTTGGGGAATGTTAACCTTGGAATTAGAGCATACCAACTGTCTAATTATCTAATGAAGGGGTCAGTCACAGTCTTCATCTACTCTTGATTTCTGAATTGACTGCCAAGGAGGGGCTTATCTTTCTCTGGCTTCTTCAGAAGCTAGTTGAGGGCCAATCAATTGCCTTTTTCTGCTGGCCGTAGGACGGTGTTAGTCCTGCTTAATGAAAAAGGGCCCTTTTCTTCTCTGCTAACTTGTTTGCTTTTTTGTGCATTTGCCAGTAGAGGCAAAGCAAATAATTCAATACTGCAACCAACCAGTGAAATACTCTAAACTTGGACATGCCTCCTCAGAGGGAAAGAGAGATCTTCTTATCAAATCTTCAGAATTATTCATTTTTATTATCCATTTGCCCTAAAGGTTGGTTTGTCATTGTAAAGATGATATCAGTAAAATAATTAAGACATTCTAGATGTTCTTTTAGCAGCTATTTGTATAGTTGTATAGAAGCGTAGTGGCCTAGCGGTTAAGGTGCTGGGCTTGTCAATCAGAAAGTTGGCAGTTAGAGACCCAAGCACCATGTGACAGGGTGAAGCTCCCATTCTTGCTGTAGTTTCTGCCAACCTAGTAATTCAAAAGCATGCAAATGCAAAGTAGATAAAAACATACCACATCAGTGGGAAGGTAACAGTATAATCATGCCAGCCACATGAGCACAGAAGCATCATTGGACAATGCTAGTTTCCTTGGCTAGGAAACCGAGATGAGTACCAATCCTTAGAATCGGACACAACTGGACACGGAAAACCTTTTTATATAGTTGTATATAGAGCTGCATTATGTTTACAGAGCTGCACTAAAATGTTATTTCTGGATGTAATGTGCTGGTTTTCACACTACATTGTAGACAGGCAATTCTGATGAGCCGGATGAGATTCCCTTGCCAGAATGTGAGAGTATATGTGTGATTCCTGGAAGTGTGTTGTTATGGAAAATAGCTCCAAGGCCTTCAAACTCGACACAGGTGAGAGAAGCCTTGAATTCAATAGTATACATCAGTGTTTTTCAACCTTAGCCAGTTTATATGTGGACTTCTTCCAGAATTCCCCAGTCAACAAACTGGGGAATTTTGGAAGATGAAGTCCAAACAACTTAAATTGCCACGGTCGAGAAACATTTGTCTACATTTTTGTCAGTCTTGCTGTTGGAAATTACACAGTGAAGAAAGTGGAAAAAAAGTGAACCCTTTACCTAAACATAATTAGTTTATTTCATGGGAGCAGTTGCTAGTAGAGTTGCGTTAGTAGCCTTCTTGTCTGAAGATTTATCACTTGAATTATTTTTCTTTCCTCTTAATATTAGTTAGGATTATACTTTTTTAATGTTGAGAGTTGAAACAGCAGTATATGCAGGAAAGCCCATTCTTCTTCATTTGTGAGAAGTCGTCCAGGGGTTACCTTTGAACCTTATTGTTAGAGCTCCCAAAATTGTGTTGCCAAATTCCAAAGTGAAAACTTTGAAGATGCAGTTTTCCTGGAAGATAAATAAAATTGGGGGTTAGAGGGGAATATATTTTGTTTGGGTTCTAATGCATACAAAACTTTCTCAAAATTGAAAACAATTAAAATCCTACCCACTTTTTCTTTAAAGAGAACACCCCCTTCCTGCTACCACTTTCTGATTCATCTAATTTGTCTTTTTCTGTGGTTCTAGTGCCTCTTCAATAACTTTGATTTTATTTGCATATTTTGCATATATAGTCAACTTGGTTTAATGGTTAAGGCACCAGGCTAGAAAGCCACAGACCATGAGTTCAAGTCCCACCTTAGCCATGAAAGCCAGCTGGGTGACCTTGGGCTGGTCATTCTCAGCCCAATTCACCTAACAGGGTTGTTGTTGCGGGGAAAATAAGAGGAGGAAGATACGTTGGTTATGTTTGCCACCTTGAGTTATTTGTAAAAATAATAAAGGTGGAATATAAACAAGCCCAGAGTTCCGCAACCTTTCCAGCTTTACAGACCAGCGGGGAGAGGAAAAGAGGATGGTTCTGCCCAAGCAGCTAGCAAGCATGCACCCAGCTCCGTTTGTGGGACTGGAGGGAACACGCACCCACCATTCATGCAAATGGAGCACATGCTTGCTCACTGCTCACACAAGTGGAGATTTGCATGTGTGCATGTTCGCCCACTGCTTCTGCAGCCTGGCTCCAAATGGCGCGTGACCCGGTAGTGGGTCACGGTCTAGGGGTTGGGGATCCCTGTTCTAGCTCACTTTAATGTAATGAATATAGAAAAAGGTCCTGAACTGATTCCTCAACTATTTGATTGGACACTTTCTTTACAGGCTGCAAACATATTAACAACTAATATTTCTTTATAAATGGAACATTCTAAAGCTATTTATTTTATCTGTAGATGTACAACTTTACCACCTTTGCTATGATGTTGAATGAATTGGATCAGGAAATGGAAAGTGTTATTCCTAAAACTGACTGCAGGCTAAGGCCAGATGTAAGAGCTATGGAAAATGGTGAAATAGGTAACTCAATAGTCTGGGTTTAAAGTTTCTTGACATAAGAATGTTGAAATATTTAAGTCTATTGTGGCAATCATGTTTTACAGAGCAACTTGTTGATACATACGATGGTGAATAAAAAAAGTAATGCAATAAGAGTGAGCTTTGGAACACAAGGTTCTTCTTTTCAAATAATTGAAACAGTCACATCTTTTTGAATTCACACAGCTGCTCCTTGCTGTTTTTCCATATGTGCATTTGACAGAAGAAACTGGAAGCAACTTCTGAAGTAGCTGCATAAACCTGGAAAAAGACACAACTGCTTTAATTATTTTTTTACATGCTTCTACAATTTCCCTGCAAAGAATTTGCAGTCATCCTATCTCTAGTTTTTATTAGGAAATACCTGAAGCCTTGTTTAAGAATATTTGCATTGGATCTCTCCAGGCCAGAATCAAGAAGGCAGCTTGTTTGTCTGTTTTTTCATATATAAATGATAAAGTATTGCCTGTTTTGGGGAAATTTAGCTCAGTATTTCTCAAACTTTGCAATTTTAAGATGAGTTCAACTTTTGGGTCAGGATGCAAGTTTGAGAAACATTGCACGAGCTTGCCTTTCTCATGAAAACAGAAAAACAGAATTTTTTATTGGGGATTGTTTGGTTTTTTTGGTACCAATAATGCTGTTAAAATTATTGCTTTTATATAAACAAAATGCATATTGTACAAAATATTGTAAATGAATAAAGGAAAAAAGCTGTTATTTAATCTTGAAAAGAGGAGTACATACCAAATATTTCAAATTAGCCAACCCATTTATTTGGAGCATGGAAGATAAAAGGGTTAATTTATTGTTGAACTATCTGCTACATAATAAAGTTTGTGAAAATATGCAGAAATCTTATATAAATTATACTAATCAAAATTATGAATTATTACTGAATTTATACATTGTTACCACTCAAGTATTACTCTAGTATATTATAATTGATACATCCTGTTCTCCCCCCTTTTTAAAAACTTTTGGTAGATGTAGCCAGTGAAGAAAAGAAAAGGCTTGAAGAAAAACAAAGAGCTGCTCGTAAAAACAGGTCCAAGTCAGAGGAAGACTGGAAGACAAGGTTTGTAAACAGAGAAGAGTTATGTTTATGATAAGATAATGGACAAATTGCTTTGAACTTAGCCTCTTGCCTGCATATTCTTAATATTACCATTGTTTAATATTACCATTAAAAGATGCATTGCTTGTGAGGTGCTGTGCTCTTGGAATTATCATTCTAAACAATGGCAATACTCACCTTCTTGTGGTATCTTAAACATTGTGCAACAATAGCTAGTCAATAGTCTGTTCCTTTGATCCAGAGCTTCTTGATATAGTAACTCTTGCTTCACGTAAAGCTTTTAAAAGGTTTAGATTTAGCATTACCTTCTGGTTTTTCAGGAAAAGAATTAACTTTTTGGTTAGCAATACACAATCACTTATTATAGTGAAATTACTCCAGAATTGATGAAAATATTATAAAACCTGAATATATTGGAACTCAGGTAAATGGATTTCAGATTCAGTGGAGAAAAGTTTGAATTTCATTGCTATTTATCAGAAAATCACTCTTATTTAATTGTGAAGTCCACTAAATAAGATTGAGTTTGGACAGTTGGTGTGATTATGTAATTGTACACAATCATACGGATTAAAATTTGGACTTTATAATTGGTTTGTGGTTATAGGGGTAACAAGACTATCTGCTTAAATAATGTACTGCTTAAAATAACAAATTTGGCTACCCCTTTAAGAGCTTTCTGTTGGGAAACTTATCTTACTCTGCATTCAATCCATGATATATTTGGAAGGGGCACTTCTGAATCTCTCTAGTAATGCTCTTTAGATTTAAACGTTATATTTAAGCATCTGAAGTACAGGTAGTCTGAATTGAGCAACCGCAGTTGAGATCGGCAGTCCTATTGTTAAGTGAAACAATCACTAAGTGGGATATTAAGCGACCAGACTATGCTTTTCTTTCCCCCATTACCCTGCCCTTTGAATACTCACCCCAGAAATACTGGTTCAAAACTTTAACAAGATTAGTTAGTTTTCCACTTTTGTCTTTGTCTTTTGTATGTCTCCTAATCCACTCCCTTCACTGGGACAATTAGCAAGAATTAGCAAGAAGAGAATGAATGATTGCATTAGCATTCATTGGAAAGGAAGAGATTACAAGCAGGCAAACATTACACATTGATGTGGTAGAGTTGACAGGCATCAGCACACTATGCAAACAGCCCAGTGCATTCCCCATTGTGTGCCTGCTTACTCTCTTGTAATACCTTCCTCTCCATTCCCTCCACTCCTCTTTGCAAGGAGAGGTAGAAAAGCAACAGTCAATCACAGGACAAGGTGTATTGACTGTAATGGTGATCACTTGACTGAGGATGCAGCAAGGGACATAAATATGACCTTTGGTCATAAAATTATTTTTTCATCACTTTTGTAACTTCAAGCAGTTGCTGAATGAGGCAGTCTTTAAGCAAGGACTATCTGTACATTTTTCACTAGAAAGGTACAATATTAATAGTTTTAAAGATTTCTTTTAAAAATTCATAGTTATGCAACTACCACCATTTGCTCATGCCTTTGCTCTAATATTGCTGTTATGGATAAAGTAGATTATAAAATATTTCAGTCAGGTTGCATTTTTATTCAGATCTAGTTTGGGGTTGTTACCAGATTGATAGCTCTTAAGTGTTTTTCCTCTGTGCAATAGGGAATAGAAAGCGTTGCAAAATAGTATCTGAATCTTCTGCAGAAATCTAGGAGGATCACATAATGTTTAAAACCAGAAACTGAAATCTCTTTCTGCAGAGAAGTTATAAGGATAAAACCATAGAGTGATATTGTAAACCCCCATGTATGAAATATATTGATCCATATAAAATAAGAAAAAGCAATATATTTATAGGGAACCAAAGAGGGGCCCATTCATCTTTTTTCAAATACTTTCCTATGCTCCATTTTTTAAGCGGCTTCCATTTGGACATGGAAGTGGTATTGTTTTTCCTTCAATCCTTTCCGCAGCCTTTTAACTGCTTGCAGATAGTGCTGACGTAACAGGATAATCCTGGCTGGGATGAATAGTTTTAACTGCAAAACAACTGAAAGAAACATCATATGGCAAAGGTGCTTTTTTAGCATTTCAGTGCCATGCTTAGCACTCAACATTTATCTTGGAATTAGTTTGCTTCCTTTGCCTTTACAGTGGAAGATGTTCTTAGTTTTTACTTTGGTGAAGGGAAGCATTCATCATGATTTTTTAAAATGTGGCCTTTGTGCTACTCTTAGCACTGCATGATATAATTCAGGTTTGGACACAAGTTCATCGTCATTACAATGAATCAGGAGGTGACTAAAACAATGATTCATTGTTGATTTCCACAAAAACATGACTACTTTGATTGTGCTATGGGTTTCTCTTGTCATCTCCAACAAAGGGCCAAGCATTCTAAAGTGGGCTGGAAGACTGGAATCAAGGTTCACGCCCTCATCTGCCAAGAAATTTAACGGCCTTATCATTTTAAGGTTTCCAAAAGCCCTGCTTATTCCAGCGCAAGCCTATTCCTTAATATGTATATTTATACAAACTTCTTTGTATTAAATAAACTCCAAACTTTAGAGTCACGGTGTATGAAATGGATGGCCATATTAATTTATTTAATAAGTAAATAAATATATCTTATTCATTATTATGAATTGCAGAGTTGTGACTTCTAAAAGGTGTTTGTTTAGGGTATTTCTTAACCCTTCATAATGCTGCAGAGCATATCTGTTTACAGATGTTATACAAAGATGTTGGAAATAGCCTGGGAGATGAGCCCCTTTCAGCCCGTAATACGTTATGCCGGGTATGTTACATGCAATGCTGCTGTTTGGAGCAAACAGTCTCTAGCCTGAACATGAAAAATAGGCTTGCTGAAGCAGCATGTTACAACCACCACAGTGTTATTGACATTGGTGCTTCAGTTCCCCTGGCACCAAGAAGCCTACAGGCACATTTGCAGGTCTTTTAACCTTCAAAGTTTAAGTAGGCTTATCCAGAAATAAGGTAGGAATCTAAATTTCTCTTTCAGGAGCCTCAAGTGAGGATTTGGATAGAGTTGCTGAATGCATGGCTTCTTTTTATTTTCTAGTATATGGGGTAGACCAGGGCTGTCAAACTCAATTTCATTGAGGGCCGCACCAGGATTGTTTGACCTAGTGGGACCGGGTGGGCATGGCTGGGGTGGGTGTGGCCAGCTCGACATCAGTGTCGGGGGTACCTGTGGTGGCCCGAGCACTCTGCCAGTGAAAACTGAGCTTGGGAAGGCTGTGCGTGGCCCTTGCAAGCTGTTTTCAGCCTCAAGAAGCTCCTGAAACCCTCTGCCAGCAAAAACAGAGCTTGGGAGGGCCACATGTGGCCCTGGCTCCGTTTTCGCTGGAAGAGGGACTATGGGCCGATCCTTCACTGTTTCCAAGGTGGCCCCGCAGACCAGATCTAAGCACTTCGAGTTTGACATTCTTGGGGTGGACTGATTTATAAATTAGCAATTTATTATAGACACTCTTGAACATTTTTTTTTTGCCTCTGTATGTTTTTCTATTTCTATGTCAGAACCTAATTTCAATTTAATAGCTTTATGTGCCTTTCTGACTTGGCCTTCATATTTAAAAAAGTTGCCATATTAAAAAGTTGGCATGAATTTATCTCAACAGGCTGTACTCTTAGCTGTTTATTAATACTTTGTTAAATTCAGAGTATTGTTTTGCTTTTGTGTATTATGTATTATGTTTTGCCAACCAGTGACCCAGGCTCTCTTCTAATATTATTTTGTTATTATGCTGACATGTTTGGATTTTCATTGAAGATTTAAGATTATAACAAGTGATGCCATGGGTATTAATAAAGTTCCTTTTATCTAATTTATTTGTTTCCCATTCAGCTGAGATTATTGTGAAGTTTTTTTTTTCTTTGCTGATCAACTAGTCCTCCTACTGTTTCTTCCAAGGATTATCTTTGTTGTCCTATCAGGTTCTCTATTTAATAATGGATGCATTTTTTATTGAAACCAGATTCTGTTCTCACAATGTGAGAAGAAACTCGCTTCTTTGGTTTCCATTGAATTACTAGCTTAAAATTCTCTAGTGGACTTTTTCAGGCAGCTTCCACAACTTCTGTGGCCTCTCTTCCTAATCCGGCCTCAGAGCTGACACTTTTCCCTGCCCTTCCAGCTCTTTGGGTTAGTGTGTGGATAAAAAGGAAAAGTAAAGCCAGCACTCCCAAGGGAAAGCTGCTTCCACAGCAGAGTTTTTGCCAAAATATCCCACTCTACCAGTTTGATAAAATACAGGTAGTTCTCATTTAGTGATTTCAGTTGGTTCTTGCAACTCAGCTATTAAGGAAAAGAGTCATCAAGTGAACATGTGACTGAAAGACTGCAAAGATTTTCTCTTTCAGATTAAGTTCTCTGGTACAGTGTCCTGTGCCTAAACTATTTGGCTTTTTGTTTATTCATTATTTCCTCATAAGGCAGAGAGATTGCTTAAGCAATCTATCCCAAAGTTTCTTTTTTTAAAGAGGCAACTGGACTTTGTTTTTCAGTAGTTCCAAGAAGGCTTTATACCCATTTGCACTACTCAGGTGATCCTGAGGACAGATAAAACTCCAAGTGGCCTCAAGAACTCTCTCAAAGAATGCAAATGACCAGCTGTCTGCAAGGAATCCTCCCCACCATCCAGTCAGAGCTGAGCAGAGACAGTCTTGGATGAGAGGCAAAATGTTTTCAAAGAAAAACAAGTCCAGTTGCCTCTTGAAAAAAGAACCTTTGGGACAACCATGACCTGGATGACTGAGAATCTCCACAGACATTAAACAAGCTACCTTTTCCTGAGCTACTTTTCTTCACAATCCAGGTTTCCCACAAAAGCACTAATCCAAAGTTAACAAGCTCAGCTATGTGAATTTAATTAGTTCATTAGAACCCTCTGGCCACTGCTGTGCCTGAAATTGACACCGAAAGCTTTTGTTGTAAATGCCTGCTTTGGTTGTGATATTAATTTTATTACAGTTTATTGCTGTTGTATTTCCAATCACCTATCCAAGGCAGTTACTAGATGAGGACTAGCCCAAAGGCCTTTTATCTTTACCACAGTACATTGTACATTTGCACATTTTCCTTAAAAGTTTCCTTTGTGTTTTCCCTTTCCTTTGTTTCAACAGATCGGTAGCAATAAATAGCTCAGAAAGCCTAAGGATCGGGATGATGATTATTTACTGATTTTTCCAGTTATTGTGGGCCTATGGAAGTTTAAATTTTCTCATAAATGAGAATATGTACCAGTTTCCTTTCCTTAAGCAGTTTTTCTCTTTCAGGTGGTTTCATCAAGGTCCTAATCCTCACACTGGTGGACATGACTGGATTTACTCTGGGAACTACTGGGACAGAAACTACTTCAATCTGCCAGATATTTATTAAAATGCATTGGAAGTTCTGAGCCTAATACAAGTCTTAAATCAGTTTTCAGTGCTTTTTTAATGCCTATATTCCTAGAAAAATATTAAAATCTGACAGGTTGCAATTGAATGTGGTTCTGGTGCTCCTGTCACAGCGTAGCTCAAGGCTGTTGTTGGGAGTGCTGGGTTTTTTGGCATTTTCCCTAGAATGCGAGGTGTATTTGCACATAATCACTGGTGCTGTACTTGGGAGAGACAGGGAGCTACCCATATTTGCGAACTAAAGATCAGTTACAGGTTAAATGGAAAATAAAAATGCCTTTGAGTTTGATTTTCTCTTTGGTGAATAATAATTATAGCAGCATATAATGAAAAACATGGCATTTTTCTCAACTCAGTAACAAATTAACATCCATGACTTATAATACTCTATGGCTTAAAGCATGAAAAGAGCATGACACTTTGGGGAAGAATTAGTCAACTTCCTAAAGACAGCATTCCATTAATTAATAGAATACAGGATCATAGATAATTCATTTATAATTTTATTTTTTACTCTCAGCACCAAGCTACTATTACTTAATTAAAATTGGATTAATGCATAAAATCACTTAGCAATGTCTTTTCCTATTTAGTGCAGTGCTTTGAATTTTTTCTTTCATGTTTTATTAACATGCTATCTTTAAGGAATTAAGAGCCATTTAAATCTTTAAAAATTTAATTTGAATTAAAGTAAGTAATTATATTTTTTAAAAAGCCTGCAGTGCACTAATATATGACGTGGGACTAGTGGTTGTCCAAATATTGTTGGACTTCAGCCCTGGTAGCATGTTGAGAGGTCAAGAATGATGGGAGCTGTGGCTCAACCCGGGAAGGCCACAGAGTCCGTATCCGCACACAAAGTGCTCCGCGCTACATGAGATTAAGTGGGGACATTACAATGAAAAGAAATGCACCGGGGTCTATGCTGTGATAGCAAACCCTAGAAGGAAGTGTGTACATTTCAAAAGCAGTTGAGAGACTACTGTACAGAGCAAATTTACCCCTATGTTTGGGGTGCTTTAACCTTTATGAAATTATATATTTGTACAATATGGAGTACAGAACTTCCAGAGAGACTGCTGCTCTTGTATAATTTAACTGTGGTTTGGAAATAGTGTTAACTGAATATTTTATTGCTATTAAATAAAGGCTTTCTCTGTCCTGTGACAGGTGCCGTTTGATTTTTTGTTCTCAATTGATTACAAGCAAAACCTTTTTTTGGTCTCTTGGTCCAATGTTGGAAGGATGGCATTGAGAGGGGCTCAAGCCTGCAAGGATGTTCTGGTTCCATCTGGGTTGGGGGTTTTTCCCCTCATTCTCATTCTCGAAACACTGTTTTCTATTTTGCTACTTCAAAGCAGAATCATCTCTCGTCTTACTGATAAATTATTTACAAGCTTCCGTAAATCTAATAAAATGGTCTGGTAACAATATATTTCTACTGAAGATGTCTGAAGTAAAAGTTACCATGTTTTTACTAGGAATCATTTTTAAATTTTCAATTTGTACAGGAAATCAACATAAGGAAACTCCTGGTTTTAGTTTTATGCTAATTGGCTACCAGTCTTAAGCAATAGGGAAAAAATGTCTTTAGATTCAGATTCTTTGTACTGCTTTATTGGTTGTACTAGTTAATCAATTTAAATTAAAGATGCAGCTTTCCGTTCTGGGGTGAAATGTTGGACAGCACCTCTTCTCAATCTGGGAGGAAAAAAACATTAGCTCAGTACATTTAGCAATGGCTCAACCCACTAAACCTTCATTGTGGTTTTGGATGCTTTGATCTTCTAAAACCACTGCTTTATAATCATATTTCTATTCTATCTTTTTAGCCAGTGTACCACATCACACACGCACACACACACACGGTATGCAATTGCATTGCAAATAGTATTTTCAGGAAAAACACTTCTGAACAAGTGTCGCTTGAATGGTTCTCACCTATACAGCAAACATACATCAATGAGTGTGAGAACACTATTGCCATCAATATGGTGCAGAAACATTCTGTAAGCTGGGGCCTTCAGTCAATTTTACAAACAGCCCTACGTCTCTCTCTTACCTATAATAGTGGCAGGAAAATCAAGCTAGAACAGCTGTTCTTTATTATTAAACTTGGAAATAAACAAATTTGCAGGAGTCTGCCATTGAGTCTGATAAAAGAGCACAGTGCATGAAAGGAAAACAATGGTAAAAATGCACCAAAAAGGTTTGTATGTATCAATGCTTCTGTTGAAAGCTAGCTAACATGTTTTTAATTCAAAGGAAGCAGATTTAGCCTAAGTTTTAAAAAAACTCTGAAAAGAGGCCCAAATAAAGTGCTCTTCTGCAACTCAATCAAAATGTATTTCTTGCAATCAAAGTACAACTGGGAAGGCAGCCCTAGGATGTCAGGAAAACAATATGGCTGCTTGAATAGGTTGCAGACCGGTGCACCTTCTAACCCAGAGCCTCATAGTGCTATTTAATACGTCTTTAACATTTAGTGAGCCATTAACACTAAGTGGCAGGGGTGGGATTCAACCGGTGTTACTACCGGTTCGGTGTAACGTTTTGCATGGTCTAGGAGCAGGGAGACCCAGGTCTTGTCCCTGCTTAACCCAACTTGAGTTGTGAGAAAATTAGGCAATTAGGAGTTTCGTTTGCACCTTTGAATTATATATAAAAGGTGAGATTTTTAAAGAAATTTAGTATTAATTCAGTGCAGGAATCTCAACCATGGCAACTTTAAGATACAGCTGGGGAATTCTGGAAGTTGAAATCCACACATCTTAAAAGTTGTTGAAGTTGAGAAACACTGATCTAATGGATACTCTTGAGGTGGCTTTGGACCATCTCTCTTGGCCCAACCTACCTGAAAGGATTCTTGTCAGAAAAATAGGAGGGAGAATTATGTATGCTGCCCTGCACTCTTTTATACAAAGTGGGATATAAATAAAATTAGAAATATTTTTATAACTTACTTTCTGAAAAGGGGCATTATCTCTAAACTCACTATATTCTGATATTTGTTCATCTTAAAAGCAGCTGCACTAGGCTTTAGAAGTATTTTTATAACATTCTTTCTGGAAAGGGGCATTATCTCTTAAATTTACTATATTCTGATATTTGTTCATCTTAAAGCAGCTGCACTTGCTTCAGTCCCTGCCCTAAGAAGAGAAAACGAAGGAACTCAACATAACATGTCAGCACCCTGTCAAATCTTGAGCATCCCTCCTCCCCCTCAAAGGTAGAAGTATTATTCAATTGCAAAAGAAAAGAAAAGCTGCTTGCTTTGCTTAAAACTGGCATTGATCTTTGGCTTGTGCCCTTAGAATGACATCTGGGAACATTCAAAGATTTCATAAGGGCAGTAGAGCAAGTATACCAAGGAACATCTTTATTACGAGCCCTCTTCAGACAAATGTGTCAGATTTCATCTCTCATATAATTCCAGTCATATTCACTGTCCATATTTGACTGAGGATCAGTGACATTGAAGGCTACACATCTGAAAAACACCAGGTTTGAAAGGTGTGCATTTAAAACTTTATCAAGCTTCACGGTCCTACCAAAGCCTGAACATCCACTCACCGTTTTGCTATTCTGTCCTGCGTACGGAGGCAGTTGTAAACGTGATCTCTCCTGCTATACCATAACTGCCTGCAAAAGCTGCTTTATCCCCAGCTCCTGAGCCATTCTTCCCATTCATCACATCTTCCAGAGGAATGGCAACTGAAAGAAAAACTGGAGTTGGCGGCCTGCCGCTATCTTGTGCAGGGTTAAAATTGGGGTTGGCCATTTTTGGATCCGCTGCCCTGGCGATTGGTACGGGAATTGTAGCGAACCTCCTCACAGTACCAGCAGCGTCCGGCTGTGTGAGAACAGCATGGCCTGGGATAGGTTTCCAGTCCTGTTTATTCTGAACAGAAGAGCCCACTAAAATGAAAGGTGGTGCATTTCCCTTCTTCCCATCTTCCATCATCACATAAGTTGGAGAGGACACTTGTGGTGGTTGACCTTGTTGTAACATCTGCGGCTGTAGATACTGCGGTTGGTCCTTACCACTAGATATGAATAGGGTTGCTTGGGGAACAGTAGCACCAGTTCCAACAGGTGGAAGGGGTGGTGGAGGTGGTGGTGACTTACGACCTTGTTGTTTCAAATCAGTTAGACAATAGAGAGTCCACACATTAGAATATGGTGGTGGCTGTCCTGGTTCGCTTGTTGCCATGGCTATAAAATAAAAATTTAAAGAAAAATTTGCTGGCATCAAAGACCATCTACTAGGATGTATGAACTGCAGTCATAATGCATAGCTTTACAAACAACTTTATGCCGCAAAGAAGCATGTTACAAAGAAGAGAGAGTCTGTAGAGGCAAAAAGTTGGATCTTGATCTATTGAAAATAGAGGGACAACAGCAAAGTGCCGTGGGGATGAAGCTGCAGTTCAGCTTAGAAAGATGTTGATTTGGCTAACCAGGGCACATTTTCAATTCAAGCCATTCATTCATTACAAGAAATTGCCAATATTCAACAGGTGTCAGAGTCCTTTTGTCAGCATGACTTCAGTCAGCTAGATTTTCCAGGCTTGCCCCACAGGTGAAGCCTTAGGGTCCTGTATGAATTCATTTTGATCAGCTCTTCAGTGAGTCAATGCAAAAGCTGTTGGATGATCAACTCAAACTCAAATGACTGGCAGCTTAAAATATTGAAAAAATCCATCCATGACAAGCTTAAGGATCCTTTTAACCCTTTCAGCATTCTCTCTTCTGTTAACATGCTTTTGTTTCTTACCTACCTATCTCTCTAACAGAATGTGATTCTTGGGAGATTTGGCAATCAGAGGTCAATGGATTTAAAAAAAAAAACATTAATCTTTCTCCAGCTGTGAACAATGGTGGCTTAGACACTTATTACTGAGGCGAGAAAACATTTGGAACAGGTCCTGCCAGGGAGGAAAGCAAGGCCTCCTGTTACAACAATCCCACTTTTCTAAGTAAGAAGCAACTAGTCCACCTTCTGTAGGCATCTGGAGAAGACTGGACCTAACGGGACAAGCGAAGGCAACCACCACCATTTCCTTTAAATGCAAAAACCATGTCAATGCCACAGTTGAGTCTACTATGTTTTTAAAAAAGAAATTAGTCACAGTCACCACCTCATTTTCCTTCGGCTGCCATGGGCATGTGTGCAATTTTGATTCAAGCTGTGCAGTTTACTGTGAGCAAGTCTTCTGGTAGGAAAATGAAAGGCCAAGCATCTTCTATACCAGTGTTCCCTTGCTGAATTTCATCCCATGCTGCTTCTCCGTCTCTGTACAAAAAGAATATAATACAGGAACAGGAAACTAGGGCAAACTTGTGCAAAGAAAACTTTAGGGCTTATTCACAATCCACTGCACATCTGGAAGCATCCCACAGGCAAAAATTCCACACATGCACAATCTGCCTGACAAGTGATGTGGGCCTGTTAACACCCCAAAACAGAAGTAACCTTCATTTACTTCAACCCTGCAGTGGCATGGCTATTTGCATTTAAATACGTTCCAGTCCTTGAGGCACTTTCTTGGCCAAAGCCATACTGCAGGAGTGGAGAAACTTGTAGCCTTCCAGGTATTGCTGAACTACAATATCCAACATCTCCCAGTACTGACTGTAATGGCTGAGACTGTTGGCAATTCTAGTTCAGCTGTAGCTGGAGAACTTACCCCTTTCCTGCTAATTTATTGCCAGCTTTTACCAACATAAATGCACCCAAGGAGATGGAAATGATTACTATTTACGGAGCTAAAATATTACAATGTGGAATAGGAAGGATTCAGAAATATCTTGACTTTCTTACCTGACATAATAAAACCTGGGTCAGTTGGTTTCAGTTGCTCTGTAGTATCCATTCTGTCAGGGTCACATTCTGCATCATCTGCAGATGGATCTAGAATACTAGTAAACTGGCCTGAATTTAGTGAAGCTGTTAGTGGATCTAAGAGACAGGCTACTGTGTCTACGAAAGGAATGACTATCTGCTGTGGAAACTGCTCCACATAAGGTGGTGGTACAGGCTCTCCACCAGCGCTGGGGTCATCATCACCCTCAGGTGTGATGTGTATGTCTGATGTGAGCTCAATTTCACTTGGGCAACCCTCTGGCAACAGGTCTTTATCAGGAGGCGGTGGTGGTAGCGGCGG